AATATATTGATGAAAAAGAAAGGGATTAAACTTTATTTTCTATTTTTCGGTTGAATTAATCTTATTTTTATTAACAAAACGAAAAAGAAACTCGGAATAGCTCAGTAGTTTCTTTGTATAGTAAAGATAAAAAGCGAGGGTTTCCGAATATACACGATAAACGCAAAACACGATACACGATAGAACCTGATAAACGATCTACACGATAAACGCAAAACACGATAAACGGAAAACACGATAGAAAACGCAAAACCTGATAAACGGAAAACTCGATACGATAAGATACGATAGGATACACGCACGATACGATAGGATACACGCACGATAGAACACGATAGAATTGTAAAGAATAACGATGCGGGTACTGTATTTGGGTGATATAAATCTTTGGAAAAGTCATGACACATTTTTTTTTTTAATTAAAAGTATCTTCCGGTAAACACGACGGAAGACCTACTCGTTGCTCTGAAACGAGCTTTGTTCTAGTTATACTTATCATGCTTTTTCGTCAGCAGATCAGTTTTTGTTTTCCTTTGAAGCAGAATATATTTCAAACGTATTTGAAATACGAAACCTTTGCAGTCTCATTTAGTTTGAGATAAAGATATTTGTTTTAATTGAATTTTCCCATTGAAAGCTAGACATAAGTCATTGCTGGAAAAAGAACAACTGAATGATATTTTATACATGATTGTCTAAACTGTTCTAAATCAGATATATGGCCGAAATAATGATGACTCTTCGTAAAAAATCAACTTTTTTTTTCGAAAGGAAAAATCTTACTCGGCTATGTTAAGGACCGATATGGAAAATGTGACCTAAGCACTGTTTCAATATGTATAACTTCCTATTAAAAAAATGTAACACAGCTACTGAATATCAGTAGAAAATATATTATAGTTATCCACAATGGATAAGTCTGGGCCGTAAACAGTACCAATTATGTCGCATGTATCAGCTGTTTGTCACGTGACTTGTATAAAAATACAATTGTTAAGCTGAATGAAGGAAACGGGGATAGTGCAAGGACATACGCTTGTTTTTCTAGAAAAAATTGATACATGTTTAAAGATGTTAATTTCCTTTACCACAAAAGTGCTGAGAGCTAACCTTTGGCGTTTGGGAAGTACGGAAAATTTTGCCGAAAATGCGTATAATAGCTATAAATTTCCATTTTGCTAAAATTCTGTTATAAATAAAAATAATATCATTCACACCTTTTCAAAGTATACACTTTATAAGCAATAAATATTCCATTTTTCAGTTCAAACAAAATAGTCTATGTCCTTGCACGTTTGATGTAAATCACGGACATGCTTATCGCTCCAGCGATATTCTCTACATTCCTTAACCCTGTGCAGCTTCAATGCTGCCAGAAAAATTCATATTCTATACAAATGGTATTTAACAAATTATTTTATTTTAGTTTTATGATTATTAAAAAAAATGGCGATGATATCATATTTAATTTAGTACTTTTGTAATTATTAAACCAGTGAAACTTGTCCTCTGGATCACCTGTACTGCGTCATGTCAAGGCTGATGACGTCATATTTGATGAGAAGCTTTCCTCTATCACTCAACTGTATTGCTATCAAATGTTGCAATTTTACAAGATTTTATGAATAATTGATAAAATAAATACGTTCAAGTTGTTTTTTACGCATCACAATGTCGTTAATTAACGAGGCTGAGTCTAAGTATTTCTGCCCTAGGGATTTTGATAATTTTTTGATAATTAATTTTTACTGTTATATTTATTGTTTTAAGATTAAAAAATCGAATGTTTACCACCCCGATTTCTTAGTGAGCCATCTCAAATTATGTCAAACTTTACTATTGGACCCTATGGGAATTTGTTAGAAAATCGCCAAATTATTACATTTTTTCCATATTTTTTGTACTTTTTCCCTAGGGATTTCTTTTTCATTCAAGTAAATGAAAGTTAATGTAAAAAGTCCCCAAATTGTGAAATTTCAAAAAAGTTCACCATTTTGATTGGTCTAGGTAGTAATTAATAAGTTTTTTTTCGAAACCAGATACCTCTAAAATTGCCATATTACGGCATAAATACATATCCCTGCAGATGAATTATCGGAGCATACATTTTTTTCGGCAAAAATAGCAACCTTTATATTGCTTGTATGTATCGTGGGAAGTTATTTCATAAGTTTTCAGTATATTATCCATGGACGTCTTGAACATACAAGTGAGTCATATGTTATTCTTCAGAATCATGCATTGCTTACGAAATCCGAAAATGGTGACGTTGTTAGGGCAATATCAACGTTCTTCTTCCAATTATTGTCGTAAAATCACATTTTCAGATCAGTAGGAGTTATAAATGATGTTAATTTTGTATCAAAATTAAAATAATTTTAATGGTGTACTGTCATACAAATGACTGCATGAAATTAAAGAGCTGCGCAAAGTGTTGCGCACTCGAATTATCCTAACAAAAAAATGCTATAGGTAACTATAGTTAACTATAGTTTACTATAATTAACTATAGTGATAACTTTGACACTTTGAAAACTTTGATTTACTATAGTGATAACTTTGACACTCTGAAAAACTTTGACAAAAACTTTGACACTTTGAAAAACTTTGACGAAAATTTTGACATTTTGAAAAACTTTGACGAAAACTTTGACACTTTGAAAAACTTTGACGAAAACTTTGACACTTTGAAAAACTTTGACGAAAACTTTGGCACTTTGAAAAACTTTGACAAAAACTTTGGCACTTTGAAAAACTTTGACAAAAACTTTTGCACTTTGAAAAACTTTGACGAAAACTTTGACACTTTGAAAAACTTTGGCGAAAACTTTGACACTGTGATTTACTTTAGTTAACTATAGTAAACTATAGTTAACTATAGTATTTTTTTAGGGTATAGACTCGGCCTCGTTAATTTTGTGGCTCGTTAAATTATCCGTGACGTCACAATTAAACTTCTATACAGTGTACCACGAATTTGAACTCTGACCTTCCTTAACATAGCTGAGTAGACAGCTTGACCCTGGTTCAATTATAGATCTTTTCAGGCGTCCATATTTTCTCTGCTTTCTCAGTTTGTTCTGTTTACCATACCATTTCATTAGAGATTTGAATTTAACCAATCAATATTTTATTTAACAGCAAAAAAAAAAAAAAAATGCCGATGCTTAAAAGATAAGGTTCTTTATATTTGTTAATTTAACATAGCTACATCTTTATGATAAAACCCATTCGAGCTTAAATGTACTTGTGTTGCAAGATCCCTCTTTTTTTTTATCTTTAATGTTTAAACTCACTGAAGAATTTCCAGTATGCTCATGAAAAAAAAAATGAAATATTAACTCTCCAGACATCTGTTCTCAGGAGTAACAACAGATGTAATGCTTAAACTGTTATCCTTTTTTTGTTAAATTTTTTTTTTTTTTAATTTGTGTGATACAGTTTTCACGTAGCTATTTCTATACCCTTGGTCCTTTTTAAAGAATGTATGGACCAGGAATATGCAATGCATGCCCTTGTTTTACAACTTGGGACGGTTATTTTAAAAATAAATAGCACAATTTATAATTGCAAACTGAAGACGGTAATGAAGGTATGAGAAATGTTAAATGGTTCCTTAACAACAATTAAAAATATCAATGATTATTAAATTCGCATTTTAGCTATACATATGTTTTTCAGTACGTACGTGTGTATGACTATATGTTTTTGAATTTTTTTTAGGAATGACAATTAATTGTATGCACAAATAACTATAAAAGATAATAACCTGCAATACAGAGTAACTAGAATGTAATTATATTTCTTAAATTTTATCAATTCCAAAAAAAAAAAAATGAAACTGATTTATTTGGGAATTACATTTCAAAATCAAAGTGAGTAACATAGGTAATCAATATTACGTATGAAAGTAATCTGTCTTATGTTTCACCGCTCTGAACAATTTAGGTTTTTACACATCGTATTTTTAAAATAGACTTTTATGAATATCAAGATTTTTAAAGGTATTTATTGTATAAGGACTATCCACACTTGATTTCTAATATTCTTTTAGTAGACATCTTTACGGAACCAAAATCACCATGATCAAACCCATTCGAGTTTAAATCTTTTTGTGTTTGTTGGGTCCCTCTATACTTTTTTTTACTAAAATGTTTGAAATTGATTGAAGGAATACCAGCAGGCTCATGAAGGAAACATAATCTCTCCTGATATTTTTACTGCGGAGTAACATCAGCTGTAAAACTTTAACTGTTGTTTCTGTTAAAGTAGTTTTTTAATTTTTTTTTATTTGCATTTGGATTTCAAGTAGATCGTTGTATACCATTTCTCTATTTCATTTTGTAAATAATGTATGGATATGCATGAATATGAAACGCATACTCTTGATTTTATAACATGTAACTGTAACGGTATATACTTGTATCCAACAGTAACCTTCACCTCAAATAAGTGAACAGAAGTAATTCTTAAAATAAAAAGTAAAATTCATAATCGCTAGCAAAAGACGGTAAGGAGGTAAATGTATGTCACTTTATGATACTTTGCACCTAAATAATAATTCTAAAATGACATTTTTTCAAATTCGAAGTAAAGCTTTTTATTATGAAACATGCATTGTTCAGTAATAACATGCATACGTTGTGCAATTTTCATAGGAATGACATTTTATTGTATGCACGCAAATTATCAAGAAAAATAATTTGCAAAGGACAGTAATTATACTATAATTATATTTCTAACTACTTATCAATTCCAAAAAAATCAAATTAATTTATTTGATAAAATACATTTCAAAATCAATGCAAGTGACAAAGGTAATCAATATTACGTATGAAAATATTCGGAACAATGCTTGACCGCTATGAACAATTGAGGGTTTGATTTATCTTATTTTTGAAATAGGATTTGATACGTATTATGATTCTTAATGGTTTTTATTGTAAAATGACTATCTTCACTTGATTTCTGTTATACTTTTTTGTAGATATCTTGACGGAAACAATATAACCACGATACAGGACAATGCCTTCGCCAGCTTACAAAATTTACTGGAACTGTAAGTATGTCTAGAACTTATTGTAACAGAAACCGTTATATATGTTCTATAAACGTCTAACACAGTCTCTGCATGTGAATCTTTTCCTACCAATTTTCTACTTTTGCTTTCATACATGTTTTGTTTGCATTTGGAGTTTATTTCAATTTTAGTTGAGAAATCTTAAAAAAAAAGCAATGATTTTTACATGACATTTAACCAAACGATATTTAATTCAACAACAAAAAAATATGCATATGATTTAGACAAATACATATGGTGCTTAATACTTGTTAGTTTAATATAGCAACATCTTTATGATGACTCCAATCAAGTTTAAATGTGTTTGTGTTTGTTGGCGCCCACTATATGTTTTTCACCATAATGTTTGAACTTGATGGCTAGAAGAAATACCAGTAGGTTCATGAGGGAAAACATAAAATAGAATCTCTCCTGAAATCTGTTCTCAGAAGTAACATCAGCTGTAATACTTTAAATCATGTTTTTGTTAAAGTCGTTTTTATTTCTTTTAATTTTTTTGTAAAAACCCACCATTGGTCCTTTGTAAATAATGTATAGAGCAGCCTACGAATATGAAAATCATGCCATTGACTTACAACCTGTGACGGTATATACATGTATTGTACTGCAACCTTTACTTCAAATATTTGAACTGAAATTGATTTAAAAAAAAATAGTAAAAACACAAATTTCGAGCAAAAGACGGTAATGGAGGTTAGTGTATCCACTTTATATGATAAGTTGTCCCCTAAATATATAATGAAAATTACGTTTTTTTAAAAATTTGCAGTTAAGCTATGGATTTGTTTTTCTGTATATACTTGTACATGTTGTTAAGGATGCTTGGGGATCAACAAATTAACCACAAATTAACCACCAGGGGCTCGTTTCTCAAAACGTCGTAGATTTGGGCCTAAGTTAGTCCGACTAAAAAAGTTACGCCAATATTTAGGCGGACCTAAATCGCGTTTCAGAAAGTAGGACTAAGACCTCTCCGATAGGTACTAAGCATGCGCAGATCGCATTTTATTTGATGTTTACAGAATACAATGACATGTGGCGGATCAAAATATTACTACACTTGAACCTAAAAAAAGGATGCAAAGCACAGGAAGCACGAGCACGCTTGCATATTAACCCTTTTTACCGTCTTTCAAACAGATCTATTACGCAAACCTATCTGTATTTTCAAGTTCAAAGCAATAACATAGTAGCAGATTCAGAAATCTTGAAAAAGTTGGGGTGGGGTTAGGCGCCCACAGCAACATTTAGCAAAACAGATTGAGTAAATCTTTTATTATAATTTTGGACACAGCCTCCCTCCCCCTCTACATCCACTAGTGTTACATGTATATTAGATATCTACATTAAAACCAAATGATGTTACATACATATTGTACATACATATACTTGCTAAATTCTGAAATAAAAAGTAATTTTCCTATATCATGTATATACGAGTAAAAGTCATAGGAACAGGCTCGTAGCAAAAAGCTTTGAAAGTCAGGGGAGGGGGGGGGGGGGGGCAACCAGTATCTGAACAAGTAAATGTACCGACCATCAGACGTACAGTCAAAAATTTATCAGTTATGAAATCATAATAATCATAGAAAGAATTATTAAAAGATATGGATAAGAGAATGATTTTTAAAAATGATCAGACCTATACATGGTTTTCGTTGGCTCCCGTTTTTTGTTAAAATTTAGACGAAATAAACTTCAGTGAAATTTACACATGTAAAACACTTTCTGAATATGCGCCTAGAATGGCCCATACCATATACCAGTATAATTCTTTATAAAATTTCAATCAATTTATTCAAAATGAATTAGACATATATTGGCAATCTAGGTGATACATGTACCTGCATCTATGATACAGGTTTTACATTTTGGACATACAGTTTTACATTGATATCGTTATAATAATTTACATAGGCCATGTAGAAATAGTATATAATTCTGTATATACACCATTTGCATTATTAACACTCGTATTCTCAATTTTAATGGAAATATTTTAGAAATTTATAAAAATTACTAGATTTTTTGCCTGCAATATGGTTCACAAGAGTTTGATTTAAAACTATTAATCTTTTGCAAGCCATTATGAAAAAAAGGATTAACACATCTACACTTCTCACCGGCACCTCTCGACAATGATTGAACAGTCTTATGAACAGAATACTTTAAGTACAATACTCAAATATTTTACAAATTTAATTTTTTTGTTTTATTAATATCATATTTAAATACATACAATTAAAGCGGATAATGAAAGACGCATTGACTTTATTGATGGTATAGTTATCGAATATTTCTCATTATCTGAAATATATTTTTAAAAATAAATATTGTTTGAGGATTTATTGAATCATTATTCATTAATAAAAATTACTAATGGAACTAAAAACTGACATGAGAGGCGCACAATATTGGCTATCCTCCCTACCTGCAACCAGGAAATCATCTAAATAATGAACTACATTGTTTTTGGCCCGCGGCTAAAGTACCCATTCTAAAAAGGTATAAATATTTTTCAAACATGGAGCAGCTTACAGAACATCCAAAAGGCAAGCACTAATCTTGATCAATAAATATGATAACCTATATTTTGAAACCAAATAATTCATAATCTGATTTGTGAATCGGCAATTATCTGAATGCATTTTTATGTCTAATAGACCTTTCTGTGCGCCTGGACCTAATTCTGCAGGCGTCGTCAAATGATGAGTACTTAAATGAACAATGCTCCTTAATAATAAAATCATTGACGCTAGACCAGGGGGGGGGGATTGATGAATCAATCTGTAAGAATCTGCCTTCTTTTGTACCATGCCTATTGGGGACAACCTAAGATTTGGTACTGTAGAGGGGGCTGCTCAAATAGACCTACAATTCTGCCTGACATGATTTCATAAGTGACAAACTGAATAGCTTAATACTGTTACCCAAACATTGACGTAAGATTATTACAATTAGAAGCTACTCAAGGCCCTTTGTAACACAACCTAGAATCAAATGTAAATCCCTGTAAGAGTTCTAAGCCTAACAATCCAAGTTGGTAATTTGCAAATAATTTGCCTAATTTACGTACATTGATAGGGCTAGCTGCAGTATTAGTGAGGTAGAGGAAGGATATGGAGATAACAAACAGTATTCCATCTCAAAGTACGTAAAACAATACAAAATAAGAGCAGAGCAAACAAGGACCCCCGAAAATCAGAGGTGGGATCAGGTGCCATGGAGGAGTGAGCATCCCCTGCCGACCGGTCACACCGGCCGTGTGTTTCCTTGTCATGATGAGGTCTAGCTGATTGGGTATAAGGAGCTCTAATAGCTTAACTTGGTACAGTGAGTCTCTTGGGTAGCTGAGACCACCATGTTGCTTGACCTAAAATTCAAATTAGAGCCTGGGGATGTCTTGTGTTTAATGTAGGGATGATTTTGTGAACATATCATGCATTCGTGTTTGCATTGACATGCCATTTTATTGCATCCTGTTGCTTTCCATACATATGCCCTTGTAATTAAATTCGTAACACTTAAGAATTGAGGTCTGAGGTGAGAAAGTCTGGGAGCTAGGGGCACTGTACATGTACAAGAGCCATAGTTCCTGGTAGACAACAGCAAATGAGAGAGATGGGTTAGCTTCCTTATTGAGCCTGAACTGAATATCACAAACACGCCACCCTTGTGGTATTTACTCTACCTGTCCCTAACCTAATAGTATGAATAAATTTAATTAATTGATCCCTGCTCTCAGGAGGGGCTGGGGCATAAATGGATGACAAAAGCATCCGTCCATACTTCAATGTCGTTAATTACATTTTCTTTAGTTTTTAGGGCCAGGTTGAGGCTACCTTTTTTCATGAAAACATATTTTGTCTCGTCATTTCGGTCAACACCATTTCAATTTTCGACTAACAGGCCAAAATTGATGTAACAATTTTAAAATTGAATTTATCTGACTCTTTGTGGCCTAAATAATTATCATAGCTTGTTGTTAGAGCAAGATAACATTGTCATATCGGATTGTGTACCTTGATTCTGTTTGCGTGTGGTCAAGGGGGTTTCTAGTGGCTCTGTTGGACCCACTCTGTTTGCTTAGAATATTTGCTTCTGCTTCCGACACCTGTTGTAACTGCTCGTAAGATAAAGACAACTGGCCGCCCATGTTTCCACTAGTTTCAGGTTGACCCTGACTGGCCTTAGAGGGAGGAGCGTCATTATTGCGCTTGGTAGACCTTCTTGGTAATGGCGTCGAATCACGCTTCCTTTTTGGCATTGCCGTTGACGTTTGGATTCCTTTTTGGGTACTCGCTATGAAATACACAAAACAAGAAAAAAAAAATATTAAAATATCAAAATCTGACAAAGAAAAGCAGTTGCATCATTGAGACACTTAATGGAATTTATGCAGATTTATCTAAGACAACGTGTAGCTAGGCGAACAGAAGAAAAAATAAATCAAATTAAAATCAGATAATTATTCGACATCGACGACCGTTTACGGTAACTCAGTCAGTAGAGCACTTGCTCCATGATCGGGAGGTCGTGAGTTCGTATCTCGGCGGCGACTGGCCTAGTCGTTAAAATGGGTAGCAATTGTTCCTTCGCCATGTGCTTGGCACTTTGAAGTGAAAATTTCGGGTCCTTCGGATGAGACTTTAAAAACCGAGGCCCCGTGTCAACGGCAGGCGTTTGCACGATAAAGATCCCTCACTGCTCAATGGCCCTGAGTGCCGAGTACAGGTAAAAATTTGAAGCTCTTCACCGGCATACGGTGATGTTTCCATATGAGTGAAAAATTCTCGAGAGGGACGTTAAACAATATACAATCACTCAATCTATCGACATCGACGATGTTGAAATTGTTAAACATGGATCGAGCACAATCTACAATGCTTCACATGACAAAAAAGAAGGAATTTTAGCCAAAGGCGGTTGTGCACTTAGAAAAAAATCACTGAATAAAAAACAGCTTATCTCTTTGAAATTTTGCAAAATACTTGATTTTTTGTGCTTGGCGTCATGTGCCTAGGTGCTTGGGTTTGACTAATAACCCCCAAATCCCCGAGCACAGGATGACACTAATACGAGGACAGGACCGAAATTAAAAGCCAAAAGACGAAAAATTATAAAAACGTTATTGGCATTTTGATAAATGGATTTAACATTGACTTGTTAAATCACATTAATTACATAAAAAAAAAATAGAATTCGTTTATTTGAGAAATTTCATTTCAAAATCAATGCAAGTGACAAAGGTAATCAACATATAAAAACATTCCAACCATGCTTGTACCACTCTGAACAATTAAGGATTTATAAATCTCATTTTTAATATAATTTTTTATGAAGATAAAGATTTTTAAAGGGCGTGTGTAAAGTTTGTAAAAGGAGTATTTACACTTTATTTCTGTTATTCTTTTCGTAGATATCTTTCCCGCAACAAAATCACCACGATACAGGACAATGCCTTCGCCAGCTTACAAAATTTACGTGAACTGTAAGTATTGCAAGCACTTTTTGTAACACAAAACGGATATTTATGTTCTATAAACGTTTACCACAGTCTCTGCTGGTGAATCATTTCTTAGCATTATTGAACTTTTACTTTCATGCATTTTTGTATATACAGTTTGAGATTTTTTCAATTTAAGTTTTAAAAATATGAAAAAGAGATGATTTTCATGTGACATTCAATCAACAAATATTTTATTCAACATCGCAGCACAGTTAAGGTTACAGTAAAGAGGTGGGGCCTAATTTGTACGGGAAATGTACACTCTGACGTCACACAAAATATAGGATCTTGAAAATACCAAAAAATTAACTTATTTGCTATTTCCTTCTTAATAGCTGTATACTACATAAAAAAATTACTATCACATGCAGTTATGTCGTTTGTTAATAAAAAAACCCCCAGAATATAGACGATGCATCGATCGCATTTCACTTGTCAATGTGACGTCATCTCGCAAAAATGATGCAGTTTGTACATAGTGAGAGACTGATCAAGACACATTTTGTACAATGATAAATGCGAAAATCTACAGATCTAGCGAGGTGAAATTACAGTTATTTTGTTTTTTCTCAAATGATGACGTATAAATATCTATATTACAAAAAAAGCTATTCTCTTTCTTTCTCTTTGCACAGAAATAAAGGGGGGGGGGGTCAAACCCCGGAACCACCCTCTGGTGTGCCAATCTTTTGATATGACATGGATCAATTTTACTTTATTACAAGTGTAATAAAAGAAATAAATACACACCTGAACATACGCACATATTTATATCTTACTGGAAGATGGAACAGAATGATCCACAAGTAACATACAAGGAAGATTCTAGCGAACTTTAGCTTTACCATATTTGGACCATCTTCAGAAGGAACTAACTTTTAGAAGTATGCATAAGTATTTTTTTTATCAATATAGAAAATGCTAAAAAGTTCCTGTAGTATGCAGAAGGAGGGGGTTTACGTTTTCTGTTAATAATCTTTTGCTGCAGTTTTAAACAATATTTTGTTTTGGAAGCTCCCTTCACATCTTTTGTTGCCGGAAAATACGCAGATTCAAGACTGTACCGAGCCGAAAAGTGACACGAAGCCCCCCCCCCCCGCCCCCTCCCCGCCTGTACCCCCTACCCCGTTCCAATTTTAAGGGGTGGTAGTTTAGTTTGTTTTTTGTTTTTTTTTTGTTTTTGTTTGCTTGTTTGATTTTTTTCTCTGAAACTATAGTTAACAACCGTTAAATATAGTTTTACAGATGTAAATTATATTTAACTAATTGTTAACTATAGTTTACGGTTTGTAAACTATATTTCACAGTTGATAAATGTAATCCATTTTTTGTGAATTTGGCGTGCCATACTTACATATATGTTGAATGATCCGATATTGAACACTTACAGGACAATCGTTAATTTCAATACCGATACTAAAAAATCATAACGTTGAGTTTTTTTTAGATAGAATAATTCTTATAAATTATGACGAAATGTTTAAGCTATATAATGAAATAGTTATTGAACTTATATTGGAGAATATTGGCACAAGTTCGCTGTTCAAATACCTTTTGTGTTCTAGTATATAGGTCCCTTAAAATATACTTTTCTCATAAAATAAAGTCATATACATGTATTTTGTATCCACAAGATAGATGCTAATATTACTATAAAAGTATTCCGACCCATGGTTAACCGATGTGAACAATTATGGTTTTTATTTATCTTATTTTTTGAAACAGATTCCGATGAAGATCATGATTCTAAAAAGGGTGTGTATTGTAAAAGGACTACATGTGTATTTACACTTGATGTCTGTTATTCTTTTCGTAGATATCTTAACGACAACAAAATTACCACGATACAGGACAATGCCTTCGCCAGCTTATACAATTTAAGACGCCTGTAAGTATGTATATACTTATTGTAACAGAAATAGTTATATGTTCACTAGATGTCTACCACAGTCTCTGCATATGAATCATTTCCTGCCAATATCTAACTTTTGCTTTTTACATTTTTTGTTTGCAATTGGAGTTTATTTCAACCCTTAGTTTGAAAAAAAAATATAAGAAGTTCACGCAGACAGCAGTTGGGGATTCAGAGGTGGGGAGGGGGGTCAAAATTATAATCCTCCCGGTTTATGATTTTACATTTTAGAAAAGTCAAAATGTTGCGAAAATGAAATAGACTTAATCTAAATCCTTTGTCTTTCAAAAAGGCGTAAATTATACCCAGTACAGTAGGAAATCCCTCTCCGCTTGAACGCACACAGTACACAGGAATCCAACAGTTACTAGGGAGTCCACAATAATTCCGTGCAGCTACATGTACACACTGTGTTTACTTGTACATGTACTAGATCTACCGAGGACAAAATAGGTTTACTTACCAATGCTAGCTACACAAACAATGTAATTTTGATATTGTATTTGGTAGAGCTTTATGAATTGTTTTTTCAGTAAATTTCTTAGTGTATGCCCTTGCGAAAGAACGATTTAATGAGGCACCTCGATGGAAATTATACCTTACATGATCATAAAAATTATTTAAATACATTCTCCCGATAGTTAATGAATAATCGAACAAAACATAGGATATGCATTGGTATCAATAGCCTATTTAGATAATAAAACGCATTTTTCATTGTTAATAAATCCCTCAATCTGCTTTCACTGCACATGAAATACGTCATTTTTACAAAAAAAGACGTCATGATTGACAATTTTATCAAGATCAGTGATTTGTTTATAACCAGCTTTATGGGATTTAACTAGCAACTTTTTAAAATGCATTGATAAGTTTTATTGTTGTTTATTATGCTAATGCAGTTTCAAGTTAAAAATTATTTCATTTTCCGGTATTATGAGGAAGAAATAGAAGTCGTATTTGAGTGTGACGTCACAGTAAACTTTTCCTGTATAAATTATATTCCGCTACTTTATTTTAGCCTTAACAATGCTGTGTAAAACAATAACCGATTTATTTCCGACTCGGGATAAAGATATCATATCAAACACAGTTTAAAGTCATTTTAATCTACATGTATAACTAACCCTAACCCTGATATTTGGGTTCCAAATCGGTGATTTTATTTTGAATTAGATAGCAAATATTATCTTTGTTAAATCTTGTGTTTTACTTTATAGTTCAGATACACCATACCTAGATGTAATTATGTGGCTACATTACTCCAAATATTAAATTAAAATTATTTGTTGCTAAAAATTGCATTTATTCAAATATTCAATGAGACAAATTTCAAAGACATTGGTCAAGACCTGCTTTTCTGACAATAATTATGTTCCCCAAACGAAGTTGGGGAACATATTGTTTTTACTCTGTTTCTTATTATTATTAAGGTCTTCCGTCTTCAGCGGAAGACCTTCTTGTTATTCTTAGGTTTCTTTTCCACTATTTTTATTATTATTATTATTATTGTTTTTTTTTCTTACCGATTTTGTGCACGCGATTTCTCGAAAACGGCTGGATAGATTTTCATGAAACTTTCAGGACTGATAGAACATCAAACAAACCTGATATATAATTTTTTGTTTTGATGACGTCACTTCCGGTTTTGAGATTTCCGCGATTTTATGATTTTCAGGGGGTCTCATTGTCCATCATTTTTCTCGAAAATGCCTTAAGACAGAAACATGAGATTTTCAGCGATGATAGAGCAACATGTGCTCTTTTGTCACACACCACTCTCTTTCTCCGGAAGTGCTGCACGTCGGCGCTCGCTATGGCCCGAAAAAAGTCCTATCGCGAATTTCAAAATTTTTGACACCTTTTTTATGATATCTTTTTACCTGGAAATATTTTGTTAAAACATGTAGAACAAAAAAAGTATAGAATTCTGAGATCTTTCAATTGATACCCAAAAAGAAGGGCTGGCCCCTTAAATCAGGGGCTGAGAGGGGCCGAATGTTTTTTCTTTATATCTCAAAAAGTATTAAGAATTTGTAATACGTCAAAGAAGCAAAGTTGTTCAAAATTTCAAGCTCAATCTACTGGAGTCGTCAAAATACGTCCGGCGAAGTCACTTCCGGCCAAACCGGAAGTAGTCGGAAAACATGTTTTTTTTGCCGTTCTCGACAAGATTTTGGGTTACATTTGTCTCTGGGAGCATTAAAAGTAATTTTTCCGTCCGTCGTCGTCACTTCCGGTCAAACCGGAAGTAGCAAAAATTGGCTTTTTTTGAAGGTTTTGATGCAAAATTGAAATTATAAAGTCACTGGAGACTACTTAGCTCATCGCTTTCTTTTGTTCCGTCACTTCCGGCACTTCAGATCAAAACCGGACGGAAGACCTACTCGTTGCTTTGCAACGAGCTTTGCTCTAGTTATTATTATTATTTTTCTTCTTCCTGGGAAAATTTTGTCCACGAATGATCTAGTAAACTACACATCCGACTTAGGTAAAATGTTTTTAGGGTCAGTAGACATGTTGTGTAGATTTGCCGAACGAAGGTCATTTTGCGCGCACGTGCTTGCAAGAGCGTGCACGTGCAACACGAGAAATGACCAATATAATGTGTATTGCCGTAACTTTTTCAATTTTTAATGAAATGCGTTGAAACTCATAATATAAGTATATATTAGAAGCTTAGACAAGAAGACATGGTCAAAATAGCAAGATCTCACGCGCATTCACGTGCGCTTCGCTCTGATTGGCTAAAACTTAAGTCTCAATATCTTTCTTGTTTTTTGATAAAATCCTTTGAAATTTTGAACATAGTCATATATTAGGGAGATCTACAGCATGATATATAAGAATTATCATGAAAGCACTTACATGCACGTGTGCGAGCAAGAGCGCGCACGTGCAACATGTGAAATTACCAATATAATGGATTTAGCCTTCACTTTTCTATTTCTTGATGGAATTTTTTGAAACTCACACTGCATGGATATATTAGTAGTATCAACAAGATGACATGGTCAAAATTGCAAAATCTGACGCGCATGCACGTGCGCTTCGCTCTGATTAGCTGAAA